ACTTTTTAAATCCACAAGAATTAATTTTTTAATTAAAATTTTTATGTGTGTGGTACCTCCCCCTGTACATATATCTGTGCACCACATTTATGCCTGGTACCTGAAGGGGCCAGAAGAGTGCATTGTATGCCCTAGAGCTAGACTTACAGACAGTTGTGAGCTGTCAATGTGGGAGCTGGGAATTGAACCCAGGTCCTCTCCAAGAGTTGCCAGTGCTCTTCAACACTGAGCAATCCCTCCAGCTCCTGGTGTCTTTATATTTGGAAGGTAATTAACCTGAACTCAACATTATTTTTGAATAGCCCTTTTCTCTTTAATCAATTTGACTATATATTCTAATACTTTCTGACAATCCTTGGTTTCTGATGAAAACTGAGCTATTATTTCTTTCCACATATTAGTTTATCATGACAATGAATTCATGTGTAGTTTTCTTTACACGTGCTGGTTCACGAAGCTTCATGGCTCTCCCAGTGAGTTTTATCATTAAAATTACTTTGTCGTTCCTCCAGCTACACCTTTTTATCCATACATTACCATTTGTTTATTTATTTGTTTGTTGCAATAGTACCTCTCTAGATAGCCCTTGCTGTTGTGGGACTCCTTCTGTGGGGTCTTTAGAGCTAAGAGTCAGAAATGGGCCAAGCTATAGAATGTGATGAATTATGAACGATGTGCTCCGCGCTTCATGATATCAGGGTAAGATGTGGTAGTGGGCACCAACAATCACAGCACTCAGTGGGCAGACACAGGAGGATCCGAGTTTAAAGCCAGCTTAGGCCACATGGAGAATTTGAGGACAGTTTGAGCTACATAGTGAAACTTATTTCAAAAGAAATCGAACCATAGCAATCTGAGATGGGAGAGTTGAATTGCTCGCCTGCATTGAGCGCTTAATTCCTCCTAGCTGCAAGGGAGGCTGGGAGACTGACTATGCTGATTACTCACCCACTGTCTCTTAGCAACAAGCCCATCTTCTCTGTGACGTTGGGGATGGGACTCCGCATGTTAGGTCTTTTCTCTGGCTCCTTCTGGCATTCTCCAAACCTGCTTTTCTGCATTTCCTTTTAGATACCATCTCCAGGTAACCATCCCTTTCCACCCAGCATTCCAAAAATCATTAGAACTCTCAGAGGTCCGAGCCCAGCTGTAGCACACTCTAGGAGGTAGAGTCTTGGTATACACACGCCACTTTCTCTTCCTCCCCTCATGCGAGCTTCAGTTGTACTTCATGATCCCATGTGCTTCCGAATCTAGAAGCAACAAAGCCTCAAGTTCCTGTTCTTCCTCCTAACCCTCAACACCCATGCAACTGTAAACCCTTTGTTTCAAATCCTTAATTTTTTGTGTTATTTATTCGTTTTCTGTTTTATGGTACGTGTGTGTGTCACACGTACTCGAGTGTTCTTTGGTGCTCCTGTGTGCTGGCCAGGGTGCATATGTGCTCATGGTGACAGCCAAAGAATAACCTTGGGTGTTGGTCTTTGGCACCTACCTTGTTTGAGATGGGGTTTCTTGACACTTACTGCTGTGTGCACCAAGCTAAACTGTCCTGCCACCTTCCAGGGATTCTCTACTCCCAGTTCCCACCTCTCTCCAGGAGTACTCGGATTTCAGGCATGTGCCTGGCTTTCCGTGGGTTCTGGGGATTCAAAGTGAGCTGTCTTTATCTCCCCAGCCCAGCTGTTTCTGCGTTCTTTTCTGTACCCTGCTAAGAGTCTGACATTTTCCACCCTAACAGCCCTAACTTCAAGCAAGAGGATCCTCAAGAGAATCCTTCAACTCCAGGAGAGAGAGAGTTGCATGCTGAACATTAAAAGCAGAGTAACAAATAGCCCCCCCCCAGTCACCTGTATTACCACGGGCTACAGGATTTGATGACACTCGGCCCACCCTCCAGGTCTGAGTTTCAGTTCATTCTGCTATGACACGCTACTGTGTGGTCTCAGACAAGGTCATTCTCTATTAGAAGCCTGCATTTGTACACTCGTACAAACAAGGAAACACTGGTTAGGTTAGCCCGGATGCTCCCTGTCTCCAAGTCACCCAAGCTCCCCCCATGCATTTCTGGGTCTGGAGGTAGATCCAAGGGGAACATCAGGAGAGAAAGATGAGGGGTCCTAAACCTTGGAAACAAGCAAAGAGTGTCCCCCTGGGGTGTCAGCTAGGGCCTGATGAGGAAGTAATAGAGAGATGAAGGGCCACTCAGTTCCACCTCAGTGCTTCGAGGCAGGGGTTCTCTGCACCGGCCCTGAAAGCTCCGCGTTCATTCCTGAGCAGAACATGTGAGCAGATGCTATCGGCACAGGGCACACACTAGCCATTTCGAAGGGTGTCATTGGTACAGGGGCAGGAGCAACTTGTTCTGGTCGTTCACGTACAGCAGACCCAACCCGGGCTGAAGGGTGTGAAGAATGTGACCGAACAGCAGGGGGTGCTTATCAGATCTGGCAGGAGTCCTTCCACACTGTGGTTTCTCAGGAGTGGAAATACTATTTGACACCATTAATCAATCACCTTCCTGGTTTGGGGTGGGAAACAGCCCCCCTCCTCTCAAGGAGATCCTTCCACCCTACTCTGTCCCAGCTAGGGTGCACCAGAATGTTGCCAGGGGGCGACTGTGAGCTTTAAACTTGGGCCTTCTCATTCTCACACATGAGCCTTCTCTCAGCACAACACAAACCAGCTGTAACTTGTGGCGGATTTGGTGGGGATCACAAGGATGCGGAGAGCTGAAACAGGCTTCCTCGGAGAGCGGTAACACTCAGAGACGAGAACAAAAACACAGCAAGCACAGCAGGGCTGTACAAACAGGAAAGGTTTCCAGGGCCCTCACCACCACACCCGGCATGACCCTCCCGCTCCTCCCACCTTGGTGATTTTATAGTTCCCTCTAATTCCCTCTGTAGTAGATTGGGCACCAAAAACGTATTTTTTTTCCTTTCTTTTTTTTTTTTTTTTTTTTTTTAATATGTGTGAATGTTTTGCTTGCATGTCTGTGTACCACATGTATGCAGGGCCTGAGAAGGCCCAGAGAGGGTGTGGATCCCCTGGAACTCACTTACAGGTGGTTGTGACTCACTATATGGGTGCTGGGGATTGAACCCATACTCTCCAGAAGAGTGTGTGAGTGTGTGTGTGTGTGTGTGTGTGCGTGGGTTCTGAAGATCAAACTTCACTCACTGTTCTTCTGTGGCAAGTGCTTACCCACTGGGCCAGCCCTGTCAGTTATTTTCAAAGTATGCCTCATTGTCTAACATTTGCCCCAAACCTCTTTTTCTTGGGAACTGTTTGGACGCGGCTGTAAGTGGTTTTAAACGGCTTTACTGAAATGCTGTTCAAACGAAGACTGCATAAATACCAGGTGCGCTTGGAATGTATACACGCCATCACCTCCTGAGCAGCTGACACAGCCGTCACTTTCCACAGCCACTCTTGTGTTTTTGGTGAGGACACAAAGGATTTATCCTCTTAGAGAATTTCAGAGGTACAGTATTATTGTTGACTACAGTTAAAGTGTTGTACATCAGAACTCCAGAACTTGTGTGTATTTTGCACAACTTGAACTTAAGCTTTGTAACCATTCACCAGCCCTTTCCCGGGGGTCTTCTCTGCTCTGTCTGGGGTTGTGGCAGTTCTAGCTTAGATTCTACGCCGAGCAAGAGCGTGCACGTGTCTTTCTGTCTGGCTTGTTTCAGCATCCCTTTGTCATTAAGGCTGAAATCCCCCTCCAGCATGTGCGCTTTTCCGTCTGTCTGTCCATGGACATCTAGGTTCGTTCCACACCCTCGTTGTCCTTGTGTATCACCAATCTCTCTTCCCAGGAATCCGTTTCGTTCATTCACAAAGCGTTAATCCCTTTGAGCCGTCTTTTGTACATGATGAGAGCTAGGAGTCTGGTTTCTTTCTTTTACTCCTGTATATTTATTGGTTTTTCATGTACAAGCCATTGAAGAGATGAGCACCTCTCTATTGTGTGTCCTTGGCACTCTGTCAAAGATCAGCCGTCCGTAAGAATGTGGTTTTAGCGGCTGGCCCTCTATTCTATGCTGTTAGTCCCTATCTGATCCCTAGCAACAATGCTACAGTATTGGTTTTGCTTATCATGCTTTGGAATAAAAGTTAAAGTCAAGAGATGTGATACCTTTACATTTGTTCTTTTTTTTTTTTTTTTTTTCCAGAGATGGCTTTGGCTATTGGGGTCTTTTGTGGCTCTGTGTGGATTTTAGAATGCTTTTTCTTTTTTCTATTAAAATGCTTTTGTTGTGTGGAATGTGCAGACCATTGGAAGTAGTATACATGTTTTGACAATATGAATTATTTTTATTTATGAACCTAGAATAGTTTTTATATAGCTATTTGTTTTTAATTTTTTTTCTTCATCAATATTTTATGACTTTTGGTACACACATATTTTGCCCTTTGGATGCTTTGAAGTACTTTGTTTTTTTTGGTGTTACTGAGGCAAATATGATTGTTTTCTACATTTCCCTTTTGTATAAATTTATTGGCATATAAAAACACCACACATGTTTGCATATTCATTTTTTACCCTGAAACTTTACTGAATATACTATTTGTAACTGTGTGTGTGTGTGTGTGTGTGTGTGTAAGTATAATTCTTAGAGTTTGTCTCTATATAACAACATGCAAATGTGTACACAGGGCTATGAACAGATGGGGACATCTGCATACAGAGGGCTGCGGACAGATGGGGACAGCTGCAGACAACAGATGAGTTATTCAGACTCTGAGACATCAGAACTCACAGGATCCTTTATTGGGAGGAACTAGAGCCTTCATAGGAATAAACAAGAGCCCTGAAAGTTGAGGTGATGGGGCCTTACACTGAGAAGGGGGTCAAAGGTTGAAGGACATTACATTTGAAGAGAAGCTGGGGTGCGAGGAGGGAATGAACAAACTCTGGAGTTGTTTTGGGAGCAGCTGAAGTCTGAGTGGCTAAGACTTGGCCAACCCAGAGCACATGTTGGGAGCCAAGACCCGGAGCTTCTCCCAGCTTATCCTTATTATATCCAGGAAGGTATGTCTGCAAGACACAAGGGTAAGGGTGGGCAGGCTTGGCTTCAGTCACATTAGGAACCAGATTTTTCAGTTAATGGAAAGGGGGATGGGATCATTTTCACCTCCTCTGGCAAGCAGGGAAACCAGAAGTGCTGTGAGTGCAAGACTCAGAGCGATCACACCTTCTGATTTGCCATTCTATACCCATTGTTTCAGGGTGGTGAGCATGGCAGCCCTCATGCCCCTCCTCTGAGTTGGTCTGGGAGTTCAGCACTTGTTTGTACTCTTAGGAATCACCTTAGACTTGCAGGCTTCCCTTTGTCTACTGCCTCCCTCTCATCCTCCCCATCCCAGGTTCTTCTATTTCCACCCCCAGGACTGCCAGATCTTGGAAAGGACCAATGCCTTTAAAATTGGTGAACAGGGGAATGGGGGACCTTTAACACTTACTGTTTTTTTTGCAGACAACTGTGCAGATACCTTCAGATTGGAAGTTGTTCGCATTCCCTTGGCAACCGCCATAGATGAATTGGGTACAGAGCTCAGTTTCTTGGTCATACCGCCAGCGTGGAAAGTAAGCCAAGCAAGGGCCAGAATCCTGTGGCAGACTGCATACATCTGTGGGGAAATCACAGGAGACAGATATGTGGATGGCTGTCTCCCTAGGGGAGAATCCTGCCTCCTCCCTCTGTCCACTGCTCCCCTTGTCTAGCTCAGAGCTGTGCTCCCAGGTCTGTGAGAACTGTGACCAGTCACATGAACCTCTTTGGTCTCTGTTTTCTTATCCGCAGATGATAACACCAAGGACCACTGTGCTTGTGGGGACAGGACCGTCTCGGGAGCTCTCTCCCTGCTTCTCCTCAGCATCTGAATGATGACATCTTGATGGTTTTGCCTCATAAATGGTCCGTCCTCCTTTCTTTCCTCTCTGCCAGGAATGGCCACTATCTAAATTCAAACTTCTCCAGTCTACTGGACGCCGGGTCCATAGAAACTGATCCACTAGCTCAGGACAAAGTTGTCCCCAAACCTCAAAGGGCATGTCGTCCACCTCCACAGCTCCCCTCTTTTGCTGCTCCCAACGCTCGTCCTTTCAGTCTCATGTCTGGAAGTCACCTTGTCTTCCCATCTCCACGGCAACACGCCTGCTCAGTGCCCGAGCTGCTCTTGCTAACAGGGCACACAGCTAGTCACTCTTCAAAACCCTTCCCACCGCCAGGCATGATGGCATTTGCCTGACGTCTCAGCACTTGGGACTCTGAGGCAGGAGGATTACAATGGCTTCAAGGCTGCCCTGAGCTATGTAGAAGACCGTGTCTCCAATATCAAAACTCTCTCAGGGGTCAACGCCTTTCTGTCACCTCCTGCTCCACTCTTTACCCCTTTAGGCACACCATGCACGCCTTGTATGTCTGTGATGAAGACTTATCATGGGTTTGCTCATATTTTTTGATGACCTGAGAATGTGAACTTTTCAAGGGCAATGACCGTGTCTTAGCCTGGTGCAGCAGTTCTGAGCAGATCTTTTGGGAGGTAATGAATGTTTCAGAAACATTTTCTTGAGAATTCTCAAGGATATGAGGAGAGAGAAGAGTATAGAAAGCCATACGTGATCAGGGAGGGCATCCTGGATTATAGATTAGCCAGAGGCCTTGACAAGCAAGCCTGTCTCATGCTTATACCCCTCCACCGGCCTCATGCTTATCCTACAGCCAGACATTGTTGGTGTTCAGTGAGTCTTTTGCAGCTCCTTGGCATCTCAGAACAGCATCACAGAGTAGCCAAGGGATCACGTGACCCAGGACCCACCTCTACCTTAAGAAGGGAAAATGAGAGTCAGAGAGGAGAGACATCAATCACATCATTTACTAAGATAGATGAAAACTGTTACAGTACAGGTCTCCTCCTGGGTACTTAAAAGATTTGTACCAAGTGGAAGATTCCATGAGGATCTTGGTGAAACACTCCACTTCAGTCACTCAGGGGAGGGGAAGGACAATGTGGAGGGGAGGGTGGGGGAGTCCAGGGGGCCAAGAGCTTACCGTCTCTGAGGTCTAAGCACTTCTTTCCACAGCTGAACAGGCAGCACCTCTTCTTGTCTGGACACTGCTTGTGCCTTGTGCACTCATTCCTCTCTTGAACCTCACACTTCACCCTGACTCTTGGGCATGATCCTATAGGAGGAGAAGGTGGGTCCCTTGAGGTGTTGAAGAAGATGCTGTTCTTCCTTCCCGCTTCCAGGGCACCGCTGCACAGTCCAGGAAGCTTACTGGCCCCTCACCTGTCCCTAGGAGGAGGTACCCTCAGAGGCCCAGCTGCGATGATCGAACCCCCAGGACCTTCTCCATCCCTCTCTCTGCCACCTCTAAGATACCCCAGAGAGGGACCCACCCCTTTGTGACTGTTCTGAGCACTTGGCTTGGTCCTTGCTGGCCCCGTAGCTCTCACTGTTTGCTAATGGGACAAAGTTTGAAAAGCCTTGCTCAAGGTGCCTGGGTTAAATGAGCAGTGATTAATTCTGCTGAAGTCCATCCTGGGCACTTGGCCTTTCTCCCCCCTCCTCAGGACACAGTTACGAGCGAGCTCTGTCAGCGTTCCCCAAGGTGAACAGAGAGTCCAGGGTGTGGAGGCTCTGTGCTCTGTGCGACCAAGGAGTGGACCCAGAATTTGCTCCTGTCACGTGGCCTCCTAAGCACTCATTGTCCACCACTACCTTCAAGTGCTCATAATCTCCTCACTTTGCCCTAAGGGGCTTCTGGGGGCTGCTCTTCAGCACACAGGTAAGGTCCTTATGACACAGGGAAGCTTTGGGGAGCTCCAGTGTGCAGGTTTGGATGCTGATGGGGTGGTGCTAGGAAGAGGCTGGTCCTTAAGAGGAAATGCTTTTGGCTGTTTGACCCCCAAGTCCATTTAACACACACTAGTTCTGGCACCCCCATGTAGAGTTTCTTCTAATGGTGGGGAGTCAACTACCACAGACCGAGGACCCTGTGTTCACCCAGGGCATCATTCCAGGATGATGGAGACACTGACTCCAAAGATCCACCCCATCCGGGGTCTGGGCTGAGGTGGGGGAAACACTCTCATCTGCCGTGTGTGCTGTTCTCTAAGTCATCAAGTTTCTCTGGTACTTACTGATAAAGAACCCCTCTGCCAGCTCAGGCTCCTGGATGTTCCACGGGAAGAAGAAGGGGGCCAGGAATGGCAGGAGTGCCCAGAGTCTCATTTTGGGAAGCCGTAGCCTGTCTGGAGGCATTAAACCCGGAGGAGCTGGTCAGTGTCTCCGACTTCTGCTCCGTGGCTCTGTGCCCTGACAGTCCAGGAAGCAGCTCTGGACAGGAGCCAGTCACATTCTCTCCCAGAGGCCATGAGTGGCATAGCAGTATCACAGGGTAAACTGTTGGGGGAAGGGGCTCCAACATGCTGGTCTGAGGTTTTCTGTCTCTCTGGCCTAGTGAGAGGGGAGTGATTGCTTACTGTCTTTTAGACTATCTTAGCAAGGTTATATAAATTCCAGAACCTTCCTTTCCCAGGGGCAAATTTCAGAGTGGGAGTTTTCCTGGTTGCTTTCCTGTTGCTGAGATTAAACCCTGATTAAAAGCATCTTAGGGAAGAGAGCTTTTATCTCAGCTCACAGGCTCCCACCTGTCATGGGAGAAAGCCTGTCATGGAACTGAAAAAGAGGCCCTGGAGGAATGCTGCTGACTGGCTTGTTTCCTCTGGCTCGCTCAAATACTTTCCCTACACGGGCCAAGATCACCTGCCCCATGGTGGCACTGTCCACTGTGGCCTGCGCCTTCCACCATCAATTAGCAATCCAGAAGATTCCCCACAGACATCCCCACAAGCCAACCTAAAGAGGCAATTCTTCAACTGAGGTTCCCTCCCCACATTTGTGTCTATCTGACCACCAAGACAGTAAGTACCCTACTCCTCCCACTTTGTGATTTCATCTTTCCCCTTCATTCTCATCTTATTTTTTTTTGTTTCTTTTCTTCAACCCTCTTCCTGCCCTCCTTTCTTTGCTTCTCTTTGCTTTCCTTCAAACCTTATCCATTCTCTCCCTCTACCATCTGTTTCTTGAGACAGAATCTCATCTGTCCCAGGCTGGTCTCAAACTTCCTATGTAGTGGAAGACTTCTGATCTTTCTGCAACAACCTCCCTGTGCTGGGATCACAGGCCTGCATCCCCTCACCCAGTTTACTCAGACAGAGATGGGGATGGAACTCAGGGCTCCACGCAGACTAGGCAAAGGCACTAGACCAATCCAGCTGCATCCTGCCTAGGCTGCCGATTCTCCTCATCTCTGGGTTCATTATCTGTGATTTTTGACCCCATGCCTCCCTTCTCTCCTTTTCAAGGACTCTCCACCCAGGTTTCTTTATTCTTACCCTTCAGCTCCCTTTGGTTGTCCTCTCTCTTGTCTTTGGCCCAGTCATCTTCTTTAGCCACCACCCAAGGGTAAAGGCTGTCAGGTGGGCATGAACCCACCTTTCCCAGTGAGCATCAGGCCAGGTGATGGGGTCTCAAAGGCAGGAGAGAAGCTGCGAGCCTCTGTCACACATGCAGGTTAGCAGGGGCCACGAGGAAGGAACGCTGGCTCAGAGTCAGCTGCAGGAGGGGCTGAGAGGGACTTGCTGATTGCTCTGGAATATTCCCTCAGCTTAAATCTTGACCCATCAGTGAGGGAGCAGATGCAGTGTGGACACCATGTGAGCAATGCAAGGGTAGACCGAGGCAGGAACAGCACCTGCTGCGGCCAGCTCTGCGGCCAGATACCCTTGAGTCACCGAGGGTTTCATTTGCCACTGCGAGAGGCAGTTCCACGGTGACCGCTTTGCAAAACCGTGGCAGAATTCCAATAGAGCAAATTGATCATTTTCATGTCAACAATATGTGGCAGTCATTTTTTTTTTCCTTAGCACATTTGTGAGATTGTGTGTTGTATCTACTGGCTCCAAAATGTTTTTCTCTCTCCAGCTGCACACCCTGTTTCATGAGTAATCACTCTCTAGCTCCAACCCACTCCAGCCCCTGAGACTGCTTCCCATCTTGCAGATTTTCCCACTGTCTTTTTCTTTTTGTGTGTGCCGTTTTCTAACCCCAGTCCAGGGCCTCACACAAAAGCTCTACCTGCAAGCTACATTCATCCCCCTCCCCCCCCCCCCCCCTTTAAAAAAAAAAAAAAAAGAATTGACACAGGCTTTCACTAACTTGCCCAGGAAGGCCTTGAACCTGTGATCCTCCTGTCTCTGCTTTCTGAGTATCTGTCATTACGGGTCTGACCCACCATGCCCACCGCTTGTTCTGGGTATTTCATGTAAATGGAATTACACAGTACAGTGTGTGTGTATGTACACGAGCGCGCGTGTTCAGGTTTCTGTGGCCCACGTGTGGAAAATTAGAGAACAATCTCTGATGTGGGCGTTCCTCTTCTACCTTGTTTGAGGCAAGGTCTCTTTGTGCCCCACCCTCACCCCTACCTCACACTCCCACACCTACCCCACACTCTAAAGTATTCTCCAGGTCAGCTGGCCCACACAACAGGCTTCTGGTGATTCTTCTGTCTTCTCTTCCCATCACAATGTAGGAGTGCTGTAGCTACAGTTGTGTGTTACTCTGCCTGGCTTTACCTGGGTTCTGGGGATTTGAACTCAGGTCCTCATGCCTGTGTGGCAAGCTCTTTACCCCCTTAGCCATGTTCCCAGACCCCAGTTCACCCACAGCAGAGCACTGTGTTGATTCCCAGTGTTTTTGGCTATATAGCATCCTGCCACATGCTAGAGTTTTACTCTTCTCTCTCTCTCTCTCTCTCTCTCTCTCTCTCGTCCCTTGGTGCCTACTCAGCTTGAATGTGGAACATTCATGGGTGTGAGGGACCCAGGGGGTAATTAGGAACACTGGACCAATATCTCATTTCCCTCTCACTGGAAATAGATGAGGAAAATTTGGAGGCATGTTTTTATTGGTTCATATGGCTCCCTAAAATGTACCTAGTGAGAGTATGTTACAATTTCCCAGCAGCAACTAACTTCAGCAATCACTGCTCTTAAAAAGTTAGATTGAAAAAAAAAAAAAAGTCTGCTGGGACACATTCTCGCTGTTGGAAGTGAAACTAGACAGAAATCAAGTATGTCGGGGTGTGGCGGCAACAGTCCCTCCTATAGTCTACCCACCATCCCTCAGCAGTGAATCACTTACCACAGTCTCCACCATGTGTTTCTGGGGGATTTCCTGAAGAAGCCACCTGAGCCCCTTCCCTTTTCCCAGAGTCAGTTTCTGGGACAGCTAAACCAAGGTGTTGCTCACAGGCCTTAGATGGAGGAGAAACATATCCCCCCCAGGCTTCCCAGGTTTCAAGGATGTTTCTGTCCACATGCCCATGGTGTCGCCCATGTCACCTGGCATGTCTCACTCTCCTCACACTGAAGATGTGTGAATCATTCAGCATCAGAGGCACAGGGTAAAGCTTTACTGAATAAAGTTGAAATAAACAGGGAGCTCCTGATGGTGGGGCTGAGCGGGTGAGGCATAGTTAGTGATAGGGATCCGAAGAGGAGGGGTTAGGAATAGGAACTGGGGACGGTGGGAGGAGGGGAGGAACCATGGGATTCAATGTTGGGAAGACGCTTAGTGTTCAGAGTGGTCAGCAGAAGCCAGCAGGACCCAGCAGGTACACAGAGCTTGGAGCAGAAGCCAAGTCCCGATGTTTTCCCCAGTGTGGCCTCTGTTCAGGAGTGGCCTGTTGAGAACACAGATAGAAGATATAGCCGAGCATCTGGGGCTAGGCTTATTTCCGCAGCCTGAAGTCCTGTTTCTACATCTTTTCATAAGAGGAGATTCAAAGTGGGGTTTGTCAGTGGGAGTTGAATGGGTTACATGTGAGCAAAGCACAAACATCTAGGTATGAACATACAACGAGACTTGGTATTCTGTATGCTCACTCAAAAGAACGTTGAAACGAAAGTTGGTTTGCTCTTTGGAGGAAAAGTGGCTAGAATTGGATTGCTGGGAAAAGGACGCAAAGAGGAAGCTGATGGCCTGGGATGGTCCCTTGGTTGGAGTGTCTGGACGGAGCACTCTTTGGCCATTCTGCAGCTGGTCTTAGGGACCCTTCGACATACCCTCTCATCCCTCCTAAATTCATTCTTGTTTGCTAACTCCCCCCGTACCTTCCCATTTTCAGCTTCCAGGAGGCCACCGTCTCCCCTCCTGATCAGACCTAGTTCTGCCAGGTCTGAGGACACAGCTGCCTCGGGACAGGCCAACCCACACCCACACCTCCCAGGACGGCTCTGGTGGGTGAGGGTGTTAGAGAGAGACTCCGAAACTCACTTTTTTTTTCGCAGGCGTTCTGGCACATACTTTGGGTTTGGAAGTTGTTATTGTTCCCGTGGCAGCCTCCGTAGATGAAGAGTTGGCACGTGCTGTTTTCCTTATTATACCACCAACGACGGAAGTAGGCCATGCAGTAGCCAGGGTCTTTTGGCAGGCTGCATATGTCTGCAGAGGGACCCCAGAGTCGAGAACTCAGGACCCCAGACAATACAATGCCATCCCCTCCCCGCAGTCCCCGCAGTGCCGGCCTAAACGAAGTTGGAACAGGCTCTTTTTCCCTCTCACACTCTAAGGGTTCAACACCCCGAACATTGTGCATACTTGCTGGGAGACGCTATGGGGGTTATCCGCATCTCTGGAGGTAGGATCCCCGGGGGTGGTTATGATCTGAACGTGAAGCGTCCCCCACAAGCTTACATTTTAAACACTTGTCACCCGTTCAGGGTGATATCGTGGAAGGCTGTGGTGTCTTCGAGGAGACCAGCTGGGGGAAATAGGTCGCTGGGGGAGGGCTCTTAAAGGGTATGACGTAGCCCTGAAGCTCCCTCTTCCTGGTCTGAAGCCACCAGGTGTCTGACACAGTAAACTCTGCATGCTCTCTCCAAAGCAGTGTTCAGGGGCCCTTTAAAATCATGAGCCAAGAGAAACCTTTTGTTAGTTGTCCCTGTTGGGTATTTTGTCGTGGCAAGGTAAAGGAATTAACGTACAGTTGACCCTGCCCCTGCCTTGGTTTTGGGGACTAAGAATGGACTGGGGGCCTCATGTACGCTAGGCAAGCCCTCCGTTATGGAACTGTATCTTCAGCCTGTAAGGTGCTTTTATGTTGGAGCACCAAGGGCCTTTAGTGCAACAGGGCCGGAACTCCTTGAACAGGACAAGGTCTGGCCTGAGGTGCACACACAGGGAGGATGATGTGT